TCCCTGTGATCTGGCCCCTGCTAAGCCTTCCAGCCCTCCCCACTCAGCCACACTGGCTGCCTTCAGCTCCCTGAACATGCACAGGGGCTTTGCATAAACTCTTCTCTCATCTCCTCCTTTTACCCCCATGCCCACTCAGTACCCATGCATCCTCACCTTCTGATTCAGTATTGCTTCTTCAAGGGTGCTGTCCCTGGTTCCCCAGTCAGGGCTGGCTGCCCACAGTAGAAATGTTTTCCCAACAAGTAGAGCTCTTCTGTGTCAATACTTGTTCAATATCTCTCTCCCCTTCAGATGGAAGCACCGAGGGTATGAAAGCATCTGTGTGGTGGAACCTGGGTATCCCTGTTGTCAATCACCATGCCTGACACACTGGCCTCCTTGTTGTTTTGTGAGCACACCCAGCTTATTCCTACCTCAGGGATTTAGTACTCTGCCGTCATGTTTGTTTGGGCTCCCAGATGCCTCCTGGCTTGATCCTTCTCATGTGACCTCCTGAGAGATCTTCTTCAACTACTCTAAACTCCCTGTCACTCTAGTCGCTCCTTATTCTGCTTTGTTTCTTCACAGCACTTGCCACCAGCTGAAATCACATTCTTTTTTTTTTTAATTGTCTATCTCTCTTTTAGAAAGTCAGCTTAATAACAGACTCAGAATAGCTAACACAATACTGAAGAAGAACAAAGTCAGAGGACTGATGCTATCCAACTCCAAGACTTACTATAAAGCTATTGGGGAAAGAACACACAACAGATCAATGGAACAGAAGAGAGCCCAGAAATAGACCCACACATATATAGTCAACTGATCTTTGCAAAGAAACAAAGAAAATTCGATGCATAAAGAAGAGTCCTTTCAACAAACGGTGCTGGAACAACTGAACATCCACATGCAAAAAACTGAAGCTAGACAGACCTTACACCTTTCACAAGAATTAACTCAAATGGATCATAGATTTAAATGTAAAACACAGGGCCGGCCGAGTGGCGCGATGGTTAAGAACTCACTTGGGATGCCAGAGGGCCCCGGTTCCAATCCCACATGTGAGGGCCAGTGACACTGCCCTCCACAGCTAAGATGCTGAACAACAGCTCAACCTGGAGCTGGGCTGCCATGAGTCGCCGGCGTCGGCGTGGGCTGCAGTCCCTGTGGCAGTGGATTGCAATGGGCTACCGTGTGTGGCCAGCAGCCAGCGTGAGCGG